GAAGAAGCGCGCAACAGTGCAGAGACGTCGAAAACCCTGGGGCGCTGATGACTGAGCCGCCTTACGAGTACTTCGTGATGTGCAACGTGCTGTGACCCGGACAGGCGATGGGGTGGATTGAGGTGACGTCCGTGAAGAGACCAGTACTGGAGACCTGGAGATAGCGACTATGTACCTCAGGTCGAAGTAACTTCCTGGTGATGTTTTGGAGAGGAGGGGGGCGGGGGTCGAGCGGTGGATGGGGGGAGGGGGGCAAAAGAGGAGGTCCAAAGTGGGTGAAGGAGGAAAATTGTTAAGGCGAACGCTGGAGGCGCCAAACCACTTTGTGAGCAATGAGCGGAGAGAGACGAGGGAGGGGGCCCCTGCTCGGGGCCGAGGAAGGCCCAAGCTCCCTCCAAGCTTGCCAGGTTGCACCAGTACCTTTGGCCTGTACCTTGGTCGGCGCCCAGTCTGGAGAGCTGCTGCCGACAGCTGTCGTCATACCCCCGACGTAGCCGGCCAGGTACATTGTTGTCCGTGACTTAACCGACAGCACCGGAACCCAGCGTCTTCTTCCCAATTATGCGCCTTAAAATACTTGGCACTCAACACTCAAACCAGCCGGCATCTGCCGGAGTGACAAACGAAACAACCCGTGTCGGTACGCCTGCACAGACCGCTGGTGATCACTGGGCAAGAGGGCTTAGCATGCGGGGATCTTCTAACACTGCCAGCTGTCAGCCACCTTTTGACCCCTCCCCCCACGCCCGGCACGCCGAGCCATTCAGTTTTCGCGTGCCCTGATTTCTGATCTGACCGACTTGAACGAATGAGTGATGACCACAGAGAAGTAAGCCGGGACTCGACGGCCTGTTGGCTGGCGAAAAGTCTTATCGGGAGTCGCTTTCTCAATGCTGTGGCGCACAAATCTCATCATCGCGTATCGTCGTCAAAAAAGAATGTTCAGCTTTGAGCTGTTGACGATGGTGAGGTCGTCATTCGCTTCGGACAGTTACTCGAGAGCTCCCAGGGTCTGCCAGGCGCGACCCTAGCACCTCGTACCCGCGAAGCCCGGGCTTTGCACCGATGGTCAGCGGTACCTTCAATGGTGGGCACTGTGACTTTGCTGCCCAGTCTTCCCAGGTACCTCATTTCAACACCCTGGAAGGTCCCTGCCTACCAGGTACGTTGAACGATCCACCTCTACCCTGAATGGAAGCTCCCGTATGATCGGTGGTGCTATAGTTGCTGTCGTCTCAACTTCGCTAACTAATAGAAGGAGGATTCAAAGTCTCGCCTGCTGCGCATATCTTTCGTCAGGATCATGGCTTACGTGCCTGGACCTGGAACTAGGCCGAACGTTGCTTCAGCCCTACCATCAGCCACCAACCATCACCTCTTGAGTGTGGCTAGCGGGATGCGGTGTGAGCGTGGAAGCATCTTCCTCTGAAGTGCGGCAAACCAAGAGTCTAGCTTGTCGACCTCGGTGCGCTTCATCACAAACAGACAGCGAGACAGAGTGTTTTTTCCTTGGCCACCACTGTTCGACGCAGCAGCCTCGAAACCGGGAACTCTGAGAAGGGGAC